CTGAGTGTATACCCATCTGTGGCCCCAACGTCCTTGAGGGAAGGACACAAGGTTTTATATAGACACAGGGGATTGCAGTGTCACAAAACCTGCCTCCATCCCCCCAGATCTCCCCAGCCTGGCATCCTGGGGCAGATGCCCTTGAAAACCAGGGGGCTCTCTTACACGTGGATGTAGCACGTGGCTGCTTCCACCCTGCCTGGGCGTTGAGGCCAGCTCCCGGCCCTGGATCCCCCGGTGACCTCAGTGCAGGACCCACACCAGGGCAGCCGGAGTCCTTCCTTGGGACGCCACAGACGTGGACTGAGTGTCCCTTCCCGGTGTTGGGCGACATCAGCTGGGGACACTGGGATCTGTGGCAGGGCGCCTGCAGGCTTTCTGCACAGGAGAGATCAGAGCAAACGTGAGACCTGGGCTGCGGGGGGAGGGCTGCGGGTTCCCATCCCGGGCCTTGTCCCTGCGGCCACCCTTTCCTTAACTCTAGCCTCAGGCTTTGCGTCAGTGGGACGAGGTGACTCGTGTCCTCCAGCCAAGGAGCCGAGCAAAGCGGTCGAAACGGATTTGTGTCTCCCGTGCACTGGAAGCGGGTGGTCAGATCTGGATGATTTCCTTATAGATGGGGCTGAACCGAGGAGGGCACGCTGGCCATGTGCAGGATCGCGCCCGTGAAATCGGGAAGAGCCGTGCGGCTCAGAGACGGGCCGGGCCTTCAGGTCGGTCTGAGGCAGCGCCTGGGTCTCCTCCACCCTTGGCTGGTGGGTGTTGGCTGTGCCACCCCCAGAAGTGGCCAGGCGCCGCCGGCGCTCACTCTGTGACCCACACGGGAAGCGCTCTCGTCACTGTCACGCGGTGTCAGGGCTGCATTCCACTGCCTGGCCCTCGATCCAGAAACGACGACAGTTATACAACCAGGGGACACGGACACTGATGTCATCGTTATGACTGTACAGCCTGTGTTCAGGAAGCAAGAGGAAGGGCGAGCGTGTTCAGTGGAGACGTGATGACACAGAAAAGGACGCGGGCCGGGCTCCTGGGGGTGACACTGCAGCGTCCGAGATGCCAAGTGCACTGGATGGTCAACAGCAGAGCGGCCCATCCAGTGAGTCAGAGGAGAAATGGCACCTCACGGAGTGAGACTCAGGGACAGAGGGCAGAGCCTGACATGCCTGCAGATGGAGGCCCTCCCTGCGTGGGGCCGGGAGCAGAATATATACTCGAGCAGACAATGGCTGCAATTTTCCGAATTTGATGAAAATTCTAAGACTGCAGATCCAAGAAGTTCAGTGAAGCCCCAGGAACAAAAACACAAGGCACAGCATAATAACATAATTGCTCAAAACCAGTGATTAAGAGAAACACCTTTAAGTATGCTAGAGGAAAGGAGGTTACGTTCAGAGGACAAAGGGGAGACTGCCGTAGACCCCTCCGGACACAGTGCGGTGAGGAGGGAAGGGCAGCACGGCCCACCTGGAATTCTGCACCAGGTGAGACAGGCTTCAAAAGAAGGTGACCGTCCAGACACACCCAAAGCTGAGAGAACTCATCACCAGCAGACCTGCCCCACACCAATATTAAGGGAAATTCTTACAGTAGAAGAAAAATGATAGCAGAGCTACATGGTTGAGCATGAAAGACACTTTTGTTATTATCCAAATCCCTTTAAAAGAGAATTGACTGTTTAAATTTTAAAAATAAAGTACTGTAGGATCTATAACATGGGTGGAACTAAAATGTGTGGCAGTAACAAGGCAAAGCCCGAGAGGAGAAAGGAGAACACGCTGCTGTCGGGTTGTCCCGCACCCGCCAGGCGGCGAGGCCACAGCTCACGGGCTGAGTCAGGTTAGAGGTCTCTGCCTAAGCCCTGAAGCCACTGCCTGCGTGACAAAACCCAGAGTGGAGACTAGTAAGTGAACGAAGGAGACGAGGTGGAATCACAAAGTGTATGCAATTAATCCAAACTGTGGCAGAGGAAACATAGACACGGGGGAACGAAGAACAGATGGTGAAAGCAGAAAACAAATAGTGGAATGATGGACCTAAACTCAACCGTATCAGCAATCACAGTGAATAGTCCTATCACCAGTTAAAAGGCAGATTGTCGCAAAAGATTAAAAAGTTTCTTGTAGGCAGCTATATGTTGCCTACAAGAAACTCACTTTGAATATAAAGACACAAATAAATTAAAAATAAGAGGTGGAAGAAGAAACCATGCAACACTAATCAGTAGTAAGGCCGGGTGTCTGTATTAATGTCAAAGTAAATTTCAGAGCCAAGAATATTACCAGAGATAAAGAAGGATCTTTCATAATGGTAAAGGGGTCAGTTCATCCACAGAACATAACAGTGCTAGATGTTACGATGCTAACGATGGGGCTTAAAATACATGAAGCAAAAAGAGATAGAACTGCAGGAGAAACAGACAAATCCACAGTCACAGTCAGAGACGTCAGCATCCCTACTCAATATAGGGATAAGCGGACAGAAAAGCACGCCCAGCCATCTAGCTCTACTGACATCTGTAGAACATCCCACCCAGTCACACAAGATAGACCACGTTCTGGTCCATAAGCAATTCTCAATCAATTTAAAATATCTCAAGTATTACAAAATATGCTGTCTAACTTCAATGGAATTAAATTTGAAATCAACAGAAGAAAGCTATCTAGAAAATCTCCAAATATTTGAAAACTCGATAACACACGTCAAAATATCCCATGAATCAAAAAAAGAGAAATTAAGTCTTTTGAAATGAGTGGACAAAAAGCACAAATATAAAACTTTGTGGGATGCAACAAAAGCCACATGTAGAGAGAAATTTATAGAACTAAACATTGTATTGGGCCAAAAGTAAGATTTTAAATCCATGCCACCAGCTTCTTCCTCAAGACACTAGAAAAGAGGAATAAATCGTGGACCCTGCCCCCGTGTGTCAGGACTTGGTAACAAATGGGGTGGGTTGGAGAAGGGGTCATCGTGCCAGGTCTTGGGCCTGAGCAGAACACAGAGGTGACAGCCCATCTCCGCGCACGTGGACTGGGGGCGTCCGTCAGAAATCAGGGCACCCAGGGAGTGGGGTGCAGGGTGAGATCTAGGCTCAGGCGCGTCTGAGGGTGGTGTCAGCACAGAGAGGCATTTGAACCACGGACTAGACGGGCTTCCGGGGGTAGGGGGGAGGCGAGAAGGGGGGGCCCCCTGCCAGGCCCCATCGGGGGACCATGTCTGCTTCTCCTCTTCCTCTCATCAAGTGGAGTAAAATACGTTAAATCCCCAGCATGAGAAGGACAGAAGGAGGGGTCCTCACTGGCGAGAGGGATCTGCCGGTTTCTGGACACCAAGTGTGGGGAGGAGTGAGTCTCAGGAAGAGGCTTTTTCTGATGAACTGGCCTCCTGCCCTGGTGCGGACGGCTGTACCCACAGGAGTGCAGCTGCTGCTTCCTGCAGAGCATGCCTGGCAGCCACAGAGGTGGGAAGCAGGCCCAGCACACTTGGGGTGGCCTCTGATGGGAGGTGTCCTGGGTCCTGGCGGGATGGCCAGAGGATGCCCCCACCTTCCCGGCACCCCTCGCCTGCCATCTCAGGGTGGGTTCTTCAGGGTCGGGGGTACTGAGTCCGGTTGACCTGAACAGCCCCCGGGACTGCTTCTGTGGCCAGGGTCCATGGAGGCCTGGGATGCCCACTCGTGGCCACGTGAAGCAGGCCGGCGCTCACTGGCCCGTGTGACTGATGGCGGCTGACAGCCTGCAGCCTGGAGCGCCCCTGGCGCTCGCTGACCCAGTTTCTCCACCGTGGGCTGGAAACATTTACATAACAGATGGCCCCAGACCCTGGAGGAGATGTTTCTAATTAAAAAGGAGGTGCGGCGTCCCCGCCTGGACCCCCCCGCCGTCCGGTTCATCGGTGCAGGTACCTTAGCCTTGACGCGCACCCTGAGCTTAGGAGGGCTTTGCAGGGCTGCTGCAGGGTGTCTGCGCGGCAGGGAGCCGTGTCTGTTTGGTGCCACTCCGATCGTTTGAACTCGGGCCTGGACCCTGTGCGGACCTTGGGCGCGGGCCTCTTGGCTCTGTCCTCCACACAGTCAGGCTGAGTCACCTGCACACGTGCCTCGCTTTCCAGCTGTCCTCACGTCCGCTACTGTGACCATTCCTTGCCTGTAAATCTTAAAACGGAGCCTAAATGTTGCCCGGAGGGCAAAGTGCTGAACC